AATACCTTCTATGTTTTCGTACGAGCAGATAAAGTGCTAACATTTAGATTTCTTGCCTGATTTTCCAATGCAAACATATCTTGAGCTGGGCAAACCTACTATCTGTCCAGATTCTGAGCAACAGATAAACTAAGAGTGACTCCTTTCCATAGGAAGACCCTCTCCCCTATACGGAGACTTGGGTGGAGAGTATCAAACACTAACCACCAGGGCTGTGTCCTTTGCCCTGTCCCCATTCCTATTCTACCAGGACTTCAGGGATGCTCTGACCCCAGGAGAACCTACCCCAGAGGACTGGACACCTCTTAAAACCTGGCCTCCCTCCACTCTTTGCATTGAGTGAAATGGACCCCGGGCCCCACTCCCTAGGAAGGGAGAAGAGCTCTTGGGGTGTGACTCACCACTAGGTCTTAAGAATTAGAAATAAAATCCTAACGCCACCCCCTCCCCAACCAACTGACTAAACAGACCCACTCTTGGCCAATGGACCCCAGAGAAACCTTAAAAACTGAGTTTCCGGCCATGATGGGACGAGAGGTTGGACGCGCCTTGTCATGCTCCCTCCCTTTTGCAGTTCAGACACAGCAACTGACCAGCATTAGAGATCACAAGACTGATGGAACGAACTCTTTGTGGCAAATGATAAAGAGGACCTAAGGCTACGCGAGGCCAGGATGATAAAGAGGACCTAAGGCTACGCGAGGCCAGGATTAAGTCACGCACCCCTACATTTAAAGAATAAACTGTGTTCTAACTGCCACCAGGCTTTTCTTTTTCTCCAGCAGCTAAATAAGCGCTGGCCTGGAGATAGCAGTACTGAGACAATCGCAGCTCCAGTGCCAGACGCCGACACCCCCCATTCCACAAGCCGTCACTACAGCCTTGACTGCACCAGAAACCGATTCCAGTAACTTCCTCCTGATAAGAGAGCACTGCCCGTGGCCTGGCTCTGGCTGGTTCATGGAGGCTGCGCAGAATGTCTTCATGTCCTCGCTTCACCTTTTGACATATAGGGCCTAATTTTAATGCATTTAAATATTAGTCTCCACCCCAAAGTAAACATAGGACACGTTTGTTCAATACACATGCTTTAGGACTCCCCTTTGTAAATATTCATACTCCTCTTATATCCTGTTAAATATTAATATGTGTATTTGCCCAACCCAGTCGACATGAAAATTTCTGTTCTATGCTCCTTGCATCAAAGTGCTGTCTCCGGTTTGGGCTGGAGGTCCACTTCCCATCCTGCAGGTTGTGACCCTTTTTAAGAAATAAAGTTTCCTTCGAATTTATGAAGACCTCTTCTTTTTTACTGACAGTCTTAGTAATTACAGGTGCAAAGAGCTTGACTTGGTGACACATTGTCCACCCTGGGACTCTGCCAGGTGGGCACACATTTGTTTATTCGGTAGCAGCTCTGGGGATGTGCTCCCATGCCACAGCCGCACCGCCAGCCTGGACTTGCGGGGGCGCCAGAAGACGCTGCAGACACACAGGCAGCCGCCCCTCCTCGACGGCTCCCACACGGGGAACCTGGGGACAGTGGTCCTTGGCCTCTTCCCTAAAACGAACAGGGCAGTGTGAAGCACGGAAGCGAGAGCTTTCACGTGGCACATGGGCGATTCTGGGCATGCGCACATCAGCGCATCCAGGTCTACATCCAGTCTGTGACTACACGGAATGTGCAAATCGGATCATTCTTCACCTGATTCTCGTAGGCACCAAGTTATTGCTGGGAGCAGGAAAGAGGAGGTTCAAGGGCAATTTCGATCAGCATGAGAACAGAGGCTGGAGGAAGCCCCTATGTGCTCCAGGTACGACCCTGCACTAAAGGCCTGTTTTAACCTTGTCAGGAGGGCCCTTTGGTTACTTTAAACAAGCCACCCTGGTGGCGACAAAGCTCACCCCCTAGGGCATCAGTACAGGGCCATTCTGGGCAGTTTCAGAGTCCTCCCCACCAGGGACACACCATTCTCTCTACAGAAACCAAAAACGGACCAAGTGTCCCATAAAGAGGAAGTGTCTCATAAAGAGGTCCCGGAGCGGTCTCCTTAGTAAGTGAATAACCCACAGTGCCCAGAGGCCGATCGCCAACTGAATTGCATGTTAGTAGAATGCCCCACATGCGTGTATGTGTGGAACACGCTAACCAGAGCTGATGACAGTGTTACGGGTGCCACATCCCTCCGCTTTGGGAGGTTGTTCTTCCTGGGGCAGCAGCAGCTCTGGCCTGCACTGCCTTGCGGAGGATGCGGGAAGATGCGGGAAGGTGTGAAGGGTCCTGGGTCTGGGGGACAGAGAGGGGAAGTGGCCTCCCTGCGGTGGGTGGGTGGGGCAGGGCACTAAACTCGCTGCAGTGGAGGCTCCTGCCCATGAAGCCCCCAGAACGACGGGGTTCTCCTGCCAACACCCCGCAGAGACTCCACTTGCAGACTCTGCAGAACATAAACTCCATGAACTGACTCACGGATAGTGCTTGGTTTATTAGTATTAAAAAAACAGTTCTTATATACAAAACAAGCTGATTTTGCTTTTTGAGGATTAAAAGCACTCTTTAAAAAATTAAAGCATGGATTCCGCGGAATTGTTTTCCTGGAAGCACTTAAGTGAATGAATATGCCAAAGTGACGACACCAAATGACAGCAAGAGGGCACTGGACAGTCACGGGGAGCGTGGGGCCTGATCGTCACAGCTCCCGAACCCGGAGACACCGACTGTGGATGTCGGGTGGCACATGCCCACATCCGGGTACAGAAGCAAATTCCTGCGAAAACCCAGGTGCACGTGCGGGCAATTCGTCTGTGTGTTAGAAGACCAACAAAATTCAGCTGCACAGTGAACCCTGCATCACAGCTAAATCAGGACGTTGAGTCGCAAACGCAGGCAACCGATGACAGTTTCCTGGACAATTACAACGTAAATATTGTGACCCATCAGTGCCCGGCGCAGCTTCTGTCTCTACAGCGGCCATGGGCACTGCATGGCCTCAGAGCAGAAGGCACAGGACGTCAGGCAGCACTGCTCGGCCTAAGTGCTGAGGACCAGAGGCCACCACCTCTTACCAGGTCTCGGTGCAGGAAAACGTCCCTTCCCGTCCTGCCTCAGGGAGGGAGGCACACAGAAAGCCACCAAAGCTTGGCTTTGTCGTCTGGGCATCCCTCGGCCTGGGCTCCGGTTCCTGCGGGCAGCCACGGGGAGGTTTATTCCTAGTCACCAGGCTTTGCATGTCAGTGCCAAGGTGTTTGGGGACCAAAACTAACAAAACTCTAAACAATGCTTATTTGTGTGCATAAATTAAGAAAAGGGAAATTCAGAAACATAATTAAAAATGAAGGACGGGAACTCCCATATAAAAAGAGGTTTATTTAGATGTTAGAATCATCTAGTGACTAAACAGACAGACATTAAACAACCGAGGCTCCGGGCTGAGCGGCAGAGCCACCGCTCTGCCCGGCTTCCGCACGCAGCAGGGGCGGCCCAGCCAGCCTGCTGCTGGCCGTTGTGCTTCGAAACATTTTCCCAACTGAAGGCTGTGACTGCAGTTTTCGGAAGCCAAGCTCTGGCCTCAAGGGACTGGGGTGGGGGGGTCCTTTGTACAAAAGGTGCTGTCCCAGGAGATTCCCAACAGACACCTTTGGGCGTGTCAGTGATTCTCAGGGAGGCGACTGCCGCCTTCCTCAGCTCGAACTGCAGGTACAGCCAGACATCTTCCCAGCCAACAAGCGTCGCTCTCAGAGTCTCTCTGAACCTGGCTGTGACGGGAAGAACCAAACGTTTGCTAATCTAAGACTTGTAAGCAGACCACAGAAAACTGCAGTTAGGCACGCCCTACAAAAGTCAACGACAATATTTTCCAAAAATATTTTTTACAGCACTTTAAATAATTTACAAAAAGCTACAAAAATCAAATTTACCAGGACACATCTGTTAAATAAAAACATCGTTTCGTGTTAGTGTACATATATACAGGGCTGCGTATAACGGACACCGTTTCCTCTGCCTTTACCCCCGAGCATCACCTAAGCCCACGCACGATACACCCACGTATACAACGCTTTCCACCAATGCCACAAAACCCAGGAAGTTTACTCACAACTTGAGGGCTTTGCCCTTCACTACTGAGCGGCCACCACCATCCTCCATGGAGGTGTCGCTGAAGTCGCTGGCGTCACTGCCCAGGGCCTCCTGGTCCTGGTCGTCCCCGTCCCTTCGTCGATACCTCAGGTCTAAAATGCTTTCCTCCGGGCCCGAGCTCCTCCTGTCGCTCGAAGTGAGCCCCGCCTGTGCCTTCCTGCATGGCCAGGGCCCGCTGTCCTTCACCAGCAGGTGTGGGCTCCCGAACACGGGGCTGGGCCCGGCCTGGGCCTCCCTGAAGGCCGAGAAGGATGGGCCCTGCAGAGGCAGCCCCGGGTGGGGGCTGAAGAGGCCGGCGGGCTTGGCTCCCCACGGCACGCTCTTTCCGAAGTGGAAAAGCTGGGTGGACAGCAGCGGGGAGAAGCCCGCAAAGGGCAGGGTGGGGGTGCCCCTGGGGGGGCCCTCGGGCCCCTTCTCTCTCTCACTCCCCAGAACCCCTCTCCACGCCGAATCTCTGCCTTCCGAGTTCAGCGCCCATGGGTTGGGCAGCCTGCTCTGGTGGGCAAAGTCGCTCCAAGGGAGGGTGAGGTCAGCCTGGGGTCGAGTGTCCCTTTCGGCTCCCAAGCTGGGAGTCAGGAAGCTCCGGCTCCCGGAACTCACATGAAAGGCCCCCCCGGCCCCTCCTGCCTCGGTGCCCACTTTGGCACAGCTGGGCAGCTGACCGAAAGCACTTTCGGCAGCAGCAGGCTCTGCCCCGCGCGGGCTCTGGTCTTTGTGGACGTAGACGTTCCTCCTACTCGCTGGAGACCCCTTGGCAGAGACATTTCCACCGGTGCCTCTGGGCGGCACCAGGTCACATCTGGCCGGAGCAGCAGGGCCCTTCCCGCCCTGGCTGAAGAGGCCGGCTGCACTCGGCGCTCCAGCTCTCTCTGTGCCCCGCAGGCCTTGGGCCGGCTGGGGGGCCCCCTTGGCCCTCTGGCTCCGAGTGCACACGCCCGGCTGCAGGGCCGGCTCCTTCCTGCACGGCCCCTCTGGCCTGGCTGGGCCCCCCGTGCCGAGAGTGGCGGGGCCCTCTGCGTGAATTTCCGAACTGCTCACGGACTCCTTGGCCTTTTCTGCCAAGAACTTCCTGATCTCCAGTTCGATGCTATCGTCGCTGTCCACGGAACTGCTGTCATCAGACGGGGAGCTGGGGCAGGGAGCTGGGCCCTGGTGATCACCCTGGAGCAGAATCCCCTCAGAGGCATTTCTCCTTAATCGGAAGGCGGGGGCCACATCCTGGTCCCCGGCGCCCTCCGGCTTGGCTCTCTCTGTCACACTGCTGAAGACGCTTGGAGGTTTCTTCACAGGGCTCTCTCCGCTGTCTCTCTTGGACTTGGAGAGGCAACTTTTCAGCACTTGGGGGTTTTTGTCTTTCCAGTCTCTCCGGAACCCGCCTAGCTTATCCAAGAACTGCGTCTCGGTGGTGCTGAACCTGACCTTCTTCTTGCACGCAGCCCTGGGGTCCTTGCACCTCTTCTTAAGCTTTCGCTTGGACCTTAACAAGTCCTTGATGGCCGTGTCGAGGTCCTCGTCGCTGTCCAGCGAGCTGCTCTTGTCCTCAGAGCTCTCTTTTTCATCCACACCCCTCGCCTCCACTGTCTTGCGGTGGCCCTGTGGCACATGTGCACCACCGGGCGTCGTGGCCTCACCCTCCCTCCCAGGGGCCTCCCCGGCTTTGCCTTGGCTGGGCAGGTCTTGTCCACTGTAGCTGGGCTCTGCTCTCCCTGCGCCGTGGTCAGCATCCTGGCCGCCCTCTTTGACCACGTCCCTCGTCTTCTTGGGTGTGGATGGCCTTACAGTGTGGCCGCCACCTCTACGTTTCCTTCTGCAGCTCAGCGACAGGTCTGGTGTTTTAGGGACAGGGGCCCTTGGGCCACCAGTCTGGCTGTTGGGGCCTGGTGGTTCCAGTGGGCCCTGTGTAGCCTGAGGGCTGCTTTCGGCCCTGGCCAGTAAGTTCCCTGACTGCGCTTTCAGGGCCAAAAATGTCCGGATTTCCTGCTCTATGCTGTCATCACTGTCCACAGAGCTGCTGTCGCCGCCAGAGCAGGAAGGCACATTGTGGGAGTAGAAGAGTGGGCTCGCAGACAGTGACCTATCGCAGCCCTCCACCGGGGCTGGCAGGATCGTCTTGGAAATGTCCAGGATCGCTTCGGCGCACATCAGCTCAGCGGACGTGTCTGCGCGGCATAGGGACCGTTCCACAAACTCGTTTCTGGAAGCTGTGCTTACTGTGGGGGGAGCTTTGGTTTCCTTCGGTAGCTTGGAGGGAGGGTCAGTGTCAAGGCCCCCCGGGCTGGGGTCCGTAGGCTTCGTGGCCACTGGCTTCTTCTTGCCTGGTGTTTTCCTGTGGGTGTCGGGCAAGGCACTTTTCGTGGCGCTGCTTGTGCTGTCCACGGGCGGGTCGGGCCTCTTTTCCTCCTGGCGCTGGGCTCTCTGAGACGGGTCCCCACCGGCCTCCTTCCTTGTCTTCTCCAGCTGGTAGAGCTGGATGGCAGCCTCGATGCCATCGTCGCTGCTGGAGTCAGATGCCTCGGGCACCAGGGCCGTGCTCCTGACTCGCTTTCCCCGCCTCGTGGCGCCAACGTTCCTCTTAACCCCACCTTTACTCTGTGCGGCTTCTGCAGGGCGGCAGGGGGCGGCTGCCTTGGGGGCTGCTGGCTTTGTGCTGCCCACGCTTTCTGTCCCGGCCGCGACCTTAGACCTGAGGCTTCTGGGCTGCGTGTTCGCTTTGGCTAACCTGGGAGGTTTGCGGAAGACAAACTCCTTACAGGCTCCTGTCAGATCCTGCCGATGTGCCCCCTTAACGGTCAGCTCTTTGCTGGATTTAAACGGTGATTTGGCTGAATTTCCATTTGGATCTAGTTTTTTATCCACAGACCCGTCACACTTTTGGGTTTCATGCTGTCTTTTCTCATTCAGAAACTGCTCTATTTCTGCTCTGATGCTCTGTTCAAAGGAGTCGTCGCTGCTCACGCTAACAGGGGAGGCAGAGCCTTGGTCCTTGTTGGCTCCCATGAGGATGCTAGGGACACCGCCCGAACCAGGTGCAAGTTTTGGGGGACATAGGGCAATTGGGGCGCTGCTGTGAGCAGGTTCTGGTTTGCATCTACTGCCCCCACCTGTGGCCCCACCAGGCTGGGCCCCGCCGGACACGGGCTGTGTGGCTCCGCTCTTCGCCTTCAGATACTCCTGGATGGCCTCTTCGATGTCCCGGTCCACAGAATCGTCACTGTCCGAGTCCAGGGCCAAGGGACCAAAGCCTGCAGCTTCCTCCTCCCCCATGGGGTCAAAATTAGCGGCAAGACCACAGGCAGCAAACGGAGGCTGCTCTTTGCACACGGTGGGACTGGTGGCCAGCCTGGCGTCTCGGCATCTCTCTGCCTTCTGGCTTCTCGGCGGCGCACGCTCATGGTTCATGCCCAGAGCAGCCTCGTCGCGCTGCAGCGAGCTGATGATCATCTGCACTTTGGCACTCACGGAAGCTCTCTCGACGCCCTCTTTCGACTCCGAGAAGCACCCGGGAAACCTAAAGCTCCCCGGTGGGCCAAAGGCCTCCCATTTGGACTGGAGAGCAACCACTGGAGGGGCGTTCATGAGAAACATTCTAGCGGACGGGGAGGGACGCGCAGAGGGGCAATGCTTTCCTATTCTGCTGGTGTCACATCCTGGGAGGAAAGAAAGCACATGGGCATGATGGCGTCTAAGGAATCAGCTTGACAGTTACCACCGAGCGCGGCCACAGAGGAACAGCATGCTGGGGTTATGGAGCCGAGACAGCCGGGTGAGGACCTGCCGTCCAGCTAGTTGGGCATCCCTGGGCAAGTTACTCACGCTTCCTGGGCCTCAGTTTACTCAGACGTAAAAGGGGCAGTTTACTCCTTTCCGCCCAGGGCTGCTGTGCAGATTCAACAAGGAAATGTCCCACGCCATCCAGCACTGTGTCCACACACCCATCACCTCCCTGTCCCTGCCTTTCTTACCCTGGGCTTCCACCTTCTCTGTAAGAGGAGAATAGAAGTTTGATTTACCTCAAAAGGTTGCCAAGCAGTGCCCACGAGATGAAGTCTGCAAATGCTTCTTTGTAGGTTAAGAATGACTACCATGAATCCAGCACTAGCAAGACTTCACGGGTAGGTTCATTCTTCAAACAACCAACAAGCTCCTGGAACAAATAGTTGCATGATGTGAGCAGTTCAGAAATTATTTCTCCAAACATCTGAAAGACATGTTTTTACTAAAGCCTTTTCATGTTAAAATGTGGAATGTATATTTGCCAGATGGTCTCATGGGGCCATAGCATTATTTTTAGCTAGCTAACATAGAAGTTGTCCCAAACAGTCACATGCTTGTGCAGTCATCTTGTGCTTCCGTATCACAGCCAGGTGTGGCTGCCTAAGCAGAAGTGCTGGGCTGGTCCCGGGAACATTCTGAAGACCTGTTCCCAAACGGCCCTTGTAGGCCAGGCCTGAGGACTGCCACTGCAGGAGGAACATAACGTACACGGCACGTAGAAAAATATGTCATACAGCCAACAATTCTTAGCATGTTGCTCTGATCCCCTCCTGCCTATCCCCCCAAATTGGAGTGGAAAGCAGTTCAAATGCAAGAGGAGAGCCCCTCAAGGATATAGACACAGGAAACTGAAGTCCCCTCAGGAATGGAGTGGTGAGGCCACCGCCACCCTTGGGACCTCAGTGGGCGGACTGCGACTGGCCTGTGCGCTCGCTTTGCTGCTGTTGCGGGTCCTTCTCTACCAGGAGTGTTCCCCACTTAACCCGGAGCTTCCTTTCGGGCAGGCACACAATCGGGTGTCAACATGCCACCCAGAACAGGTACGCCCAAACGATGGGACCAGCAGTTAACCACAGAGTGTGAGAAATTCAGAAGCAAGTCATTTGCTATTAACAATTTGTGCTTTAAAAGTAAAACTAAGGTGTACGAATTTATTGCAATTACTTGAAATTCTCTTCGAATCCAGGTTCGCTGCGATGTTCCAAACGCTGCAGGGATTAGGCCTTCATCGCTCCACGTACACACCAAAGCGTCCTTTGCCTGCTTTTTAAATAGATTTTTGATTATCAGAATTAAAGAGAATCAGAGGCATCTAATTAGAGGCTGGAGCTAAAGTTCATATTTTTTTGGCAAGAAATATCATTAACTTAAGGGCTCAAAAGTAAATTTTGAAAGCACATAGTCTTACCCTGAGACCAAACACATTTAACCACAGCTAATTTACAGCTATCCTGGACAGCAGATCAGATGCTGAAACGACTGGGTGGGGGTGGGGTATGCGAAGCTCACCGGTTCTCAGAGTCAAGCAACCAGCTACTGGTTGCTTCCTCCAGGAAGTCACCTGCAGTGGGGGGAGGGGCTTTTCCACCGGCTAGGGGACCGTGCCCACCTTAATTATTCAAATTGCCTCAGCAAAATTACAGAAATTACAAAATATTTGCATGAGCCTTGGGCTGTGAAGAGCCTAAATCAAGACTATTAACTCTTTAAGCAGCCATACTACCTTAAAAACAGGCCCTGGGCGAACAAGAACCGATTTTTACACTAGGTGGCAAAGTTGGGGGGAGGGAGTTCCCCTGAGGAATAACACTCTGATCTCCATAAACATGTTTACAGCCTTTAAAGGACTGCAGACAGTGACTGGACCCCTAGTGAACAGTTTTCTCAACTGTCAAATTATTTAGCCCGAGAATGAGATTAAAAAATCGGGGTGGGGGGGGAGTGTCCCAGAGACATACTGCAGCTTTGAAACAATCAACTTACACGAGGTGGATCATTCTGGAAAACTCCCCTAAACTGTATTAAAGTGTGGGTCCACGCCAGGGGCTCAGGCTTTGTCAAACTGCCGTCCTGCACCTCGAGGGCCCCCAGAATAAGGTCTTGAGAGTGGCTGTGGGGACACCTAGCATCTGTATCCCAAAGCCACGAAGTGCTACAATTTAAGTGGTGGAGGGGCACCTGGGCGTCTTCTCAGTCTAGACACCAACCTCCTGGGGAGAACAAAACCACACTCAAACCCTTGTCACCTTAACAGTATGGCCACCTTCGAGAAATGTCCCCAGATACATTTCTCCATTTACCAAAAAGCGGTTCAGCTCGTGTTCTTACCTCCCAGATGGGGGGTCCCCCCCAGGGTTAGGGGAGGCCAGGGTCTGCATGCCAGGGAGGAGGAGCAGCGGTCCAGGAGGGAGGCGGCAGCAGGAGGGCCCTCTCCAGCCAACCTGAAGTGGGCGTGGGCTAGAATTCAGTTCCTAGCCTGCCAGAAGCTGAGATTTTACAATATCACAAGCTTCCCCAGCAAAGCTGCAACGCCTTTCCTGTGTCTGCAGACTGGCAAGGTGAGACCCTCACAGCTGCCCCGCTCTCACCTTCCACCCCTGAGCACGGGCTACTCACATCCTGGAGTGCGAGGGGGGCTCATCTCCCTGCGGGGACGTTCGCCCCAGCACCGGAGCAGCAACCTGGTCCTTGGCCAGGTGAGCGCGAATACCTCCCCAGGCAGAGGTCAGGCCTCCAAGCCCGTCTTCCGACCCCCGGCGCTATTTTTCTGGGATGCCAGGACTTGGGAGCTTGGGGCCTGGGAGCTCCGCGACCCTCCCGGAAGCTCCGCCTGGCGCAGGGCGTGAGCGACAGTCCAGAGACCCGCCAGGCCCTCGGCCTTTCTCGAAAGGCAGCGGCCGCCCGAGAGCAGGCCGGAGGCTCCCCCGCCGCGGGCCCTCACCTGCGCCTCACCTGGGCCGGCGTGCGCCCCGCCGGTGCTCGAGGAACGCCCGCGGAGGGCAAGGCGTGCGCGGAGGCGGGAGCTGGGAGACGCCTCCGGAGACCGCGACCCCCTCCCGGGGCAGGGACCAGCCCCTGCGCCCGGCCGACCTGTCCCCGCCCGCCGCGGCGCCCCTTCTCCCGGGACCCTGCGCCGTCGGCCTGCCGCGGCCTGCTCCGCG